CAGTTAACAAACAAAAATATGTATATAAAATAGATAAATATATAAATGTAATAAATAAATACATCAGCCTTGGTGAGTTTCAAAAAGCAGTGGAGTTCACCAACCGATGCAAAGGCCCATTCGTAGATGATTCGGCAGCCATTGTGGAGGAAACCATCGGATCCTATGTCGTTGCAATTATTCGACCAACTTCCAGTGGAATAGTAGGCTTCCACGATGGCCAGAACGATGAATGAAAAGCAGCAGGTAGCAGAGAACACCAAATCCTGAAATGCATTGTGTTAGCCGCGGCCCAGGACAGATATGTGCCCTTTGCTTCCGAAAACCAGATGCGCGTCGAGTGCAGACCACACACCACAAGTGACGACGGCCTCCAAGTAAATCTGGTAACTAGTGGTTCATAGTGATAGCTGATAGTTGGTAATGATAATTAGTGACAACTGATAGAATACAACTGCAACAGGCTAATCATTTCATTGGCAGAAAACATTTACATTTTGTGGAGGCCGTCGTCACTTGTGGTGTGTGGTCTGCACTCGACGAGCATCTGGTTTTCGGAAACAAGTATGTAACTAGCGAGGCTTACTGTAGTTCTCCAAGGCCAAAAATCGAGGTGGGTCTCATTCAGCGTGAAGAAATAGAACGATCAGGAAAATGAATGTGAAGCACATTGCCACACCAGCGAAGATAAGAAGCAGTGTCTGACCGAAAAGTACTCCTGAACAAATAAATATGAAAAAACGGTGACAGTTTACCTTTAGATTCTCACAACGCTCACCTTTGAATGGTCCCGGACCAAATACGGATGTGATCAGGGAAATCACGACAAGACAAAGGAACTAAAATAAGAACATCAGTGGTACTTGTGATTGTACTTCACGAAAATCTGCAGACAAATTCCACGAATATGCTAAGATTTCGCCTTTCCGTAGTTTAGAGCTGATTACACAGGTAGAAAATGTGCTGTTCCAGCAACAGAAAAGTACGCGACAAGAGCTCTAAGTCGTTGTCTTTTGCCTGGCATTGTCGAAATTATGGGGCGCAAAATGCTGCAGTTGGTATTCTTAACGCGACGAATTACCCAACAGGATGTCTGTGTCTCGCTTGGCGCCATGCTCTCTCCCCTGTTCTCTCTCCTCGGCGCTCTGTGTCGCTTACGGCAGCCACTGTCGGCTAAGCAGACGAGCTATCAATTAAATGTTTCCTTAGCTTCATTGGATTTTTTCTACCGTCTAGGCGTTCCCACATTCCAGTACACTTTCACAGTGCAAAAATTACACCTTTTGATAGCGGAATGTACCTTCAAAAGACTTACTATTTCAAGAATGCGGAGGAGTCCATGAGGTCCGAGACAGTAATGCGTGTTCGTTTGTCCAATTCCACAGCCGTAGACTTTGTCCTTCAAAAATATATCCTCTATAAAGGGTCTTATCGACACCAATACCTAACTGGGCATTTTTTGTACGAACAATGGCCCGGAAAAACCTCATGCAGCTTGGTTTGCGTTCTGGTGGTGGTCGTGACGTACGTGCCATCCGGCTGTTGCGTCGTGTAGATCTCTCGCCGTTCCATCACGTTCTGCTCTAAATAAAATGACATCCGTTCTCAATTTTCCTGCTGTAATTTGATGAAAAAGAATTCGATATGAACTGTGGAGAGAGAGGACGCAAGAGAAGGACGCGTTCCAAATGGAATTGGGGGATCTGGACTGACGGGCAGGGCGTAGAGACTTTGAGTTCATCGCCTCCCAAAGGCAAAATTTTCGAGAACGGACAGAAATAACTGAAGTACGTTACGAGAAATTCTAAAGAATATCTTTGCCCTTGTTAAATGGTCCTATCCGTCAGGCTCACTGATTGGACTCCCTCAAATTGTTCGCTTCACTTTTACAATTAATTAAATTCCGCAAACTAGGGTTGGGGGCCGGAAACTACGTACCTTACATTAACGGGTCATACCGAACTTTACTTTTTTTTCCCTAAACCTTACACACAGTATTTTTCGATTAAGCTGCCGAAATTCGGCAACCAACATCCCCGTATAGCACTGAATTGCTTATCGAAGAACGAGCCTGCTCAGTGTGACCTCAATCAGCATCTCGAGAGAAAAATGTTAAGTAACTACGTCAAAAAAAACGACCCCTTCAAATTCTTTCACCGCCTAAGCTCCACTCCTTCTGCGAGGAAAGCTCCCAAACGCTTTAGCTTGAAAAAAAAGATTAGTGCTTAAATTCGAGCAGAGAGCATGAGACAACCCAGAAAAAATTTTTAACCTCACAATGGTATGTGGACATTGAACAAATATTTTCTTGGCTCATTCGTTAGTGCAGTAATATTTCAATGTTTTCCGTATGCGTGACATGAAATGTGGCACGATCGGACTGTTCACAGATGGATTGAATTTGAACCTAGAGGAGGTAACGCGCATATTTCTATGTGCTGCAGCCAAGGTTAACCGTCAGTTCATACTACAATTGCAAACGAGAGAGTCGTCTTTAGCCGGCAGGCTGGTGGAGAGGAGGGGGAAGGGGAACGGTCATGAACGGGGTGAGCAAAGGTGAAAATCGTGGAGATATCCCTATTAACCGCCGATGTAGGACGAGCCATAGTAAGAAAGCACAGGCTTTCAAGTGTTTCCGCAATTTGAAGCACGGGCGTGGGCGTGGCGCACCTCATGACACGAGTTTTTTTGGAGCGACCTCTTCTTCTTGTGATTTATAAACACCAAAAATCTTGTTGGTCTAAAAACACCAGCAAACTGAAGAAATGCGATGCTTTCAGAAATAACTGAAACAAAAACTGAACGCTCATTAATATAAAAGAGTCGACATCTCAAAGGATAAAAGAAAAGTTTTACAAAAAAAAAACTTGAAGCAGTAAGTTTCCAAGAGCACTTCAACAACATTTTAGAAATTTCTGAGACTACCATTTTTCGAGACACTCACAATTTTAAGCGGAAAGTTCTGAAGAAAGTTATTCGAATGAAAGCCGAAACCAACCACGTTAAAAATATCTCGGAAACCAGGAAAAAATGCATGCGCGACTTTTTTAATAGGTGATTCTTCAACGAAACCTCGGCAGCACATAATAAAAGGCCTAATCTTCTGCTATACCACGCTAATACTAACCATAAGTATATAAAGAATATTGTGATCGTTCAAAGGCTGATAATTCGCTGTGCGCAAAAAATAAGCGTTGTTTGAAATGATGAAATATGAAAAAAACCTACTAGTTTTTAGAGAGGTAATTACTTGAAGGGGCGGAAGTGGTGTAGTGGCAAGTGGCACGCTTACCACGCGAGCGGTCCGGGGATCAAATCCTGGGTCGTGAGTCGCCCGGGCCAACCAAGCCTTCCATCCCTCCGGGGTCGGTTAATTGGTACCAGACTTG